CCTGGCCTGAATGGAGCATGTAGATATTACCATACTTATTTAAGTTAAAAATATAAGTTTACACCAGTATTCTGTAACTACTTTGGGAACTGAAACTCTTTATTTAAAAAGAATCCATTTCAACAGACTAGGTGGCTCAGTAAATTGGTAATAGGCTACTGAGCTTTTCACCTCTAGGTCACCAGTTCAAATTTAGTTAGTTGACAATGACTGAAAGACATTACTTTCTGATGTTTGTTCAATGGCCTTCAGGAAATGAGCTTTAACAAGCACTAAATTCAATTAAACTATATATAGAAATACATATTTCACCATTTGTATGTATTAGCATTTTCCTAGTTTTACGGATTACGCTAACAAAATTCAGAAGTCTTTCTACATCGTCCTCAGTTTGATAATTAAATATCATTATGATTATCTATATAAAGATTGTTGTTTTGTTTACACTACCCACTTGATTATACTGACTCATGCCTACTAATATAACAACTAGGTTATATCTGCATATCAGACCTGAAGTAATTTTTGCAACCAAATTGCTCTGTTTTGAAGTTTTAATAAACATGAAAATACCTCCTTAACCACTTCTAGAAGCTAAACAAAAAGGTGACATAATTAAGTGCGTTTCATATGACATTGTAAGATACAGTAGAAATGTTTAACTTGCACAGTGTTTTATTTCGTTATTGTTTGGACGTAGAGGGTGGACATAGCTAAAACGTTTAAATGTATTTTATAGTTCACATTTTCAGGAACAGTGTTCATAGCAACATACGCAAATAAGAGATACGCAGATGCAAAGTCAGCCTTGAAAGAAAAATATCCAAACCGAAGCATTTTTCCTGTTAAAATACCTCAGTAAATTATCCCAAAGGGCTACATAATATTGAGTGGTATATATAACTCATGTCAATTGTGTTACTAAGAAAGCAACAACAGTGGCTCTAGAAATATCTGTAGAAAATCACATTAAGGTTGGGTTGAATATGAACTTTCGCTATCGCTGTAAGTAAATATTTAACAACAGCTGCTATAAATGATGCAAGTCATTTTCCACCAAAATAAGGTTCATAATAGCATTGGCACTTCAGAACAATTCAAAGAGAATAAAAATGGTAACAATTTGTAAAAGCCAACAACATTTACTGAAGAATTTTAACTTTTCAACAGGCACATCATAACACATGATTTATTATGAATTTCAGTCTCTAAATAATCTGTGCAACGTATTAAAATAAAGGCTCAATTCTCCCTTAAAAGTGGACATAATTCTTTCTAATGTTACTGGGACTTACTCATATGCATTGATGGGAATTATAGTTATATAGATACTTACTATAAAATCTAAAAATAATTTGCAAAGCAGCCAGTGTGCTCAGCAAGCAATTCTTCAAGTATACTAAAGTTACGAGAATGCAGTTTAATGTTTTTATTATTTATTTTTTAAAGAAATCACATATACCTCAGATATCCATTCAAAATAAAGGTACCTATGGCACAAGCTGATCCACAGCTTGCAAGGTAAGGACCTTAAATTTCATTTAATTTCGGTAACTAAGAAGGCTGATCTAATGGACAGGGTAATGGACTTAGACTCAGGAGACCTGGATTCAGTTCCTCGATCAGCCAGAGACTTGTGTCTGACAGTGGGCAAATCTATCCTATTGCTCAGTTCACCATTTATAACATGGGACAGTGCTTTCCGACCTCCCAAAAGGTGCTGCAAGGGAAAAATTAATTGACTATGAGGTGTTCAAATACTACAGTGAATGAGAGTCACATAAGTACCTAGATAGTTAGAAACATTTATTCAAAACAAGAATTGGGGGACAATGGCAATTACGTGTTCTCAACAATGAAACAATGTTCAGTTTGAATTCCCAAATGAAAAAAAGGAACATTGTCAACTTAACATTTACTTGATTTTTTTTTTTAAAAGCAGAACTTTCAGGTGTTACACCTACTCTTGAGTCCCATGCAATTTTTGTCAGTTTGCCATCAAATGTTCTCAGTTGTTTAAATATGTTTCTCCCCTCCTTCCTGTATAAAAGCCCCACACAAATAGGGGAAACAGACTAACTATACAAATAGTGATGCAAAAGGCAAAGGAAACAAACAAACAACAGACCATTTCCTAATCATTTCCAGTGTTAATAATCAAAGGTGCTACTTACAGAAGTGTAAAGTATTAAAAAATAATTGATTTTAAGTTTATGTTTAAGACCATAAAACAGTTATTAAACTACAAATCCCTCTATGCATCCAGTTATCAATATGAGAATGTGTAGATATATGTGTGCTATTTTGAAGGTACAGACATCTATGCTAAAAGTAAAACTTTTACAGAAAAAGTTACACATAACCAGCCACTAACCATTTATTAGAACTGATTCATTAATCCCTGCCTAGTGGTTCCCAAAATATTTTCATCCTATGATCCTGAACCATTCATTGCTCCAGGCTTGGAATACTGATACAGATTATAAACCTTAGTACAAAGTAGGCTTTAAAAACACTCCAAAATATCATATATGCTTTGTTTTACAAAATTATTTTTATACATAATTAGTCATAAAATTATTTAAAATTCCTGGTTAGTCTCTTTTTTAAGCAAAACTATTTACAATGACATTCTTCCTCTAAGACCACAAAACATTGAACATAAATAAAATGTTTTTATTGTTGATTATGGATATTCACTACAATTCTTAGAAAGCTTCTTAAAATATCCTATAAACATTTACATGTATAACACATAATACATTCAAGCTACAATGTTGTATTTCTTACCATAAATATAACATACAAGCAGTCCACTTACCATGGATTAAACTAACAGACTTTTTAACATAGTGAGAGCCAGGTTTGACAGTCATGTTCAATATGAAGAAATGAAGATATTTTAATTTTTCTCCATCATCATTGTGTCTCAGCAACGGTTTTAGGATTTTTGCTCACCTCATAGATGACATAATGGTTTCAGCAGAGTTCAAAACTATTACATAAATCTACAGTACCCAATTAATCGCTACAAATTCTTATAAATTACAAACCCTATTTATGTAGGGGCAAAGATTACAAGGATGTTGAATATCTTAATGTGCAGCATAACTTTCCAATTTAGATGTAAATATTATTTAAGCTAATTTATTTTTTCCACCTCCTTAAATAGCTAATTTATTTTTTCCACCTCCTCAAATATCTGACTTTCAATGATAAAATGCATATAAAAACATTTCATTTATTTACAAAGCTAGCACAGCTCAGCTGGCAAACAGCAAGCTTTTGGATATGGTTATGCAAATACAACTTGAACTCGACCTGGAAGAACCAATATTTCAATGAGCTAATGAGGTTTTTCATTTTCAAACTGTTCTCACAAAACTGTCAATGATATCAAAGATATGTTTATGTTGTTTCCCTTTCCCCCCACCCCTCCTCAAATCACCACTACCAATCTACCCTTTAGTTAGCTAGTTCACAGTATGTAGTCTGAGTGCACCTTTTCAGAGACAGCTGCAGTTTGTCCCCTTGATAGATGCTCTGTCTCCTAATAAACCCTGTCAGCTACACAAAGGGAATTTTTAACTGTGGGCGGATCGGTATTAGCCTGTAGTGAAATGAAGTACTGCAACCATTCTTTGCTGTCCTCACAGCTATGCTTACTCTTTGGGCCTTCCTACTGTGCAGGTAGTTTGAACATAACTATTAAAAGGAAATAAGATTTTAACCTCTGGTTGTCTACCTTATGGAACACCCAGGAGCACATCTAAGTAAAATGCTTAATTAACTTAAGTGCATTTGTACAGCAACATGTCCTTGAGCATTAAAGCACTGAAAGCACCAAAAGACTGACTATATCTTGCTGCCTATTCATAAAACAGAAATAGCAATATACTATTTGATTGATTAACAATAAAATACAGATTTTGCCTTCCAATACCCCTACTACAAAGAAGGGATCATTAGTCCCTCTTTAAATTACATGTCATCTCTTAGGCATAATGCAGGCCTATACACAATAAACAACATAAATATAAAATCAGGTGCAGTGCTACATTTACATTCACCATGCAGCATATCTGGTGGCTGGGAGACACCCATGTTATTAAAGTTCAGTTTGACAAACAGAAAGGAAGCTAACCTTCAGTTGTCTGTCATTTTGTTTAAATACAGAAGGGGTGGAACTTGCCAATAGCAGTAACTTGACAGGATGCGTCTTCCCATTCATTCTCCAGCCTTCTGGCCAGCATACTCCCTACAACTTGCCTGCCCAGTTTCCTTTTTGGGCCAATCTTTTAAGAAAATGGATTTTTTCCAGTCTTTAACATGGTACTACTCAACAGCAATAAATAATACAATTGTGACCATGTTCAGTATTTGCAGCCCCAGAAAGTGCCAGGGATACAACGAGGCTGAAGCGGGAAGGGGCAGATACGGCATCTGCCACAACAACTTTATGTGCTTTGACAAACAAAAGAAAAAACGTATAGTACATCATGTCAAGGTTCATAAACTATGATTTCAACTGCAGCCCTGCTGCACCAGTGAGCTGGGATTCACTTACTGCTCCTTCTCGCTCGCTCGCTCTCCATTCACACACATACACATCATTACCGTAGCACACAAGGCTCAAAGCACACTAACAGTTGTGTCCTGAGCCCTTCCCCTTGCTCTGCCCATCACTCATCCTCACAACAAGCGAGGGAGAAGCGCGCAAGGATGCTGGGCTTCATGCCCCCGCCCCAACACCTCTTCAGGAGAAGGGGACATGAATCCAGAAGTCAAGCAAGCTAAGCAATACATAGTCCTGTGAAACCAGAACTACCGGCACCCCCGGGCCGGATGGGGTCTCCCGGTCACGCCTCAAACACTACCGCCCCCAGCTGCGTTTCCCCATGCAGCAGCCCCCGGGGTATCGAGAGGACTCAGCCCTTCCCCGTCTCACCTAATCTCGGGAGGGCGCCCGGCCCTCCCCCGAGCGCGGAGCTACCAGGGACCCCGCCCTTACCGGCGAATTCCTCCTCCTCGTCCCCGCTCTCCGAGTCGGTCTGCATGGGCTCCTCGGCGAAGCTGACCCCCCTGGTGGGGGCCCTGCGGGGCGCCAGGCTGCCCCTCTCATGGCCCGGCGCCATGGGGGGGGAGCCGCCCCCGGCGCCGCTCTCCGCCGCCTCCGCCTTGAGGCGCCCGAAGTACTGGAGCGCGAACTCCAGCAGGTCGCCGGGCTGGCTCCGCAGCACCTCCACGGTGAAGCCCTGCAGCAGCTCCGTCAGCCCCGCCGGGATGGAGATGCTCATGCCGGGGCCGGCCGGGGCGAGGCGGCGGGAACGGGGGCCGCAGCGCGCGGGGAACTGCAGCGGGTGCAGGCCGGAGCAGGTGGGAGCCGCAGGGGTCCGAGCCCGCCCTGGCCGCCGAGGGTGCCGGGAGCGGCTCGCTGGGAGCCCGGGAGGCGGCGGCTGCTCTCGGTTCGCCCGCTCGGCGCGGCGGCGGCGGCAGCCCCGGCGGTGACTGTAGCATCCCCGCCCCCGCCTCCTCCCCCAGCGCCGGGGGGGCCTCGCACGCATGTGACCCGGGAAACCATGACAACCTCCCGCCAGGGACTGCGGAGCGCTGCGCCGGCCGGGGCGGGGGGCGGGCTTCCCCCGGGCCCGGGATCGGCGGGGAAGGGATCGGGCTCCGGGGACAGTGCGGCTCGGGGTCTGCCTCGCCGCTGGCAGGGCAGGGGGCTCAGCCGGGGATGGTCGGAGCGGCGGGAGGTCAGGGTTTGGCCAGGCTGGAGAGGCACCTAATCCCAGAGGAGATTGGGAGATAGGGCCGCCCTCAGCCTTTGCTCTCCCCCGCAGCTGGGCATGGCACACAATGATGCAGGGGGGCTTACAGCCACGGGGGAGCGCTCTTCTTTGGGGCTTTGTGGGGAGGTCTGACCTTCCACTCAAAGCACCAAGGAAAGGGAGGGGTTGTGCAGCTACTGGGGCAGGTGGCCTTTCCACCTTCCCTCTTACAGTAAAGCCATGGCTGTGCTCCAGGCTTTGGTCCATGCAAGTTAGGTCAGTATGCAGCCACTGAAGTTTGTATATTGCCCATGCACACTGGCTGCTTGTGTGGGGGTGCTGCAGGTACTCACTGGGGTGCTTGTTTTAATAGTTTCAATTTAAATTGTGGTGCACCATGGGTAGGTATCCCAGCATGCGGTGTGCCACCATCCAGCATAGTGCATTTGGGGAAATTTTTGCAATGTTTTGTGGATAGTAATGACTCGCCCGGGGATCTCTGGAAGATAGTTTCATGCTGAGAGCTTGACTCCTTTTTCCATCTCATAATGCCATTTGTATCCCAAATTTTCATGCTGTTTGTTAAAAATTCCACAAACCAGTGTAGCACTTTTTGGTTGAAGCCAGCAGACCTCTACACTATTCTTGTGAATGGTGCAAATCCAGAACACACGATCTGCCTGTATTTGCAGACCATCGGGAAGTACTGAAACAACAGGGAACATGAGGATTTCTTTGAGGACAGCTTGCTGAGAGATATAGTGAAGAACAATTCAAGTTTATTGGTGGCATTCACAGATCACCCATGCACAGTGGAGTACTACCTTTGGGCTTGAGAAATGAGCATTGCCTGGTGAGATCGTATCATAATGCAGGTTTGGGGAAATGAGCTGCGGCTGTGAAAGGCCATAGTCCTGGATCTGTATGCCCAGCTTATCCGAGTGCTCGAGTATTGGGACACCAGAGAGCTGCATTGAAAGTGGAGGAGCAAGTGACCATCACACTCTTGAAGCTTGAAACAGGATTGCTACCAGTCAGTAGGAAATCATTTTGGGGTTGGAAAAAACACAATAGGGGCCATTATCATGAAAGTGTGTAGGGCCATTAATTGTCTCCTGCTATGCAGGACTGTGACTCTCAGCAATATGCAAGACCTAGCAGATGTATTTGCCCCATTAAGGTTCCCAAACTGTGGCGAGGCCATGCATAGCCCTATTTTGGCATGAGTTCACCTTGCCACAGAGTACAGTAATAGAAAGGGCTACTTTTCCATGGTTATGCAAGCTTTGGTGGATCACCGGGGATGCTTCATCAGTATCACAATGGGCAGGTCAGAGAAGGTGCATGACACTCACATCTCTAAGAACACAGGACTGTTATGAAAGCTGAAGTCAGGAACATTTCCTGAGCAGTAGACTATTATTGGTGATATTGAAATGCTAATAGTGATTCTAGAGAACACAGCCTTCCCCGGCTCATGAAGCCATACACAGACCACCATGATAGCACCAATGAGATCCAACTATGAGCTCAGCAGCTCGTTGAATGTGCTTTCAGCAGATTGAAGGGACTCTGGCAGTGTTACTCGCTGGATGGATCGTGGTAAGAAAAATATCCCCACGGGCAGAGGTGCCTACTGTATCCTACATAATATCTGTAAGGCGAAAGCTGCTGCTGGGATGGAAGGTAGAGAAGCTATCTGTTGACTTTGAATAGCCAGACACCAAAGACTATTACAAGAGCCCCACAAAAGTGTATGCACTGGAGGGAGGCTTTGAAAGAACATTTTTAACAGTCAGCCACAGTAGAGTTCTGCGATGGAGTGTTCTCTGAGCCTGGAGGTTGGGGCGCTGCTAAGGATGGTGTAGTGATTGCTGTACATTTATTAAGATGGCGGGGGGGGTTCCTGAAGCTATTAATTATAGGGTGCTTGGTGTACATTTACATGTAGTGGTTGCAAACAGTTGTTGCAAACTGATAAAATGATTTGATTCTTCAAAAATGTAACATTGAGTGGAAAATAATGATACAGAAGATCACCGTGCAAAAAAATCGCTACACATTTTAAGGGTATGACTACACTGGAAACTTCAAAGCACTGCCGTGGGAACGCTCCCGCGGCAGCGCTTTGAAATGTGAGTGTGGTCGCGCGTGAGCGCTGGGAGAGAGCTTTCCCAGCGCTCCTGGTAATCCACCTCCATGAGGGGATTAGCTCCGAGCGCTGGAAGCGTGGCTGAGCCTGTCTACACTGGCACTTTAAAGCGCTTAGACTTGCTGCGCTCAGGGGGGTGAATCACCCCTCCCGAGCCAGCAAGTTAAGCGCTATAAAATGTAAGTGTAGACAAGCCCTTAATGTAATAGGATGAAAAATTAAAATTAGAAAGTAAACATTTTATGTCCATTTGAGTAAACAAATGTAGTCTGTTATGGCTACACATACACCAGTTGTTCCACAGCTCAGGATACGTAAAGCTAGGTTCTCCTCGCTGTACCCCATTGTGGAGTGGTAGAGGTAGTGATGTGCTCTGTGATGCCACCTTGTACATTAGGAGGTGCAGGGAGCAATGACCATGGAGGACTCCAAGGACTGCAAAGGGAGAAGAGTCTGGGATTTTTGGACCTGTAGGTCAACCAGATAGTCTGCAGCATTTGGGTTTGCTGCCTGAGAAAACCCATTATGTCCTGGTGCATTTCCTGCTCCTTGTACTGCTGGGACTTAGTCCCTGTCCTCTCTTTCCTTTTCCATGCTGTTGGTCTTCTTCAGCTCTTTGTTCATGGTCTTATGCAGCAATGACTTGCTGAACATATCCTCCCTAGTTCCCTACTTTTCCCCCTCATCAGGGTCAGACATTCTGCAAGTATGGAAGTGGCATCCCTCAAGGCTATCACACCAGAAGCTGTTGATAAGAACAGACAGATGTGCCATTGGATTTACAGTCACAACAGAAAGGGAAAGTTACGTTTCAAAACTTCCTCCTCCTTATTCCTATAAACACTTTTACTAAGAAATGCTTATTGACACTTCAGCTTTGGAGCACCTCTGCACAAGACCCCTGTCCAGTCCCAGCCACAGTGAGTACAGCCCACAGAGGAGAAGGCTTTTCAGTCCATCTTCCATAGAAACCAATAATAGTGGCGCTGCTTTCCACCGACAGTGGAGATTTTAGCTGCTCTATCACTGCTGAGGGTCACAAAGGCAGAGAACACAGCTGCTACTGGCGTCACAAAGCTGCCCAGGCTCATATGCCACGTTTTACTGCACTGGTGCCAGCTGAACTCATTGCAGAGTGGCATGGGAGAGTGTCCTACCATGGAGGAAGAAATAAGGCAGCCTTCCCCAGAAACATTTGAGAGAGGCTTGTAGAATATCTCCATGAAAGTTTCATCGAGATCTCAGGAGGATTTAAAGGACGTCCCTTATTCACATAAAAAAGTGCTCTGCATGGCCACCTCCACCTAACTCAATAGGGGAACAAAAAGCAGATCCCAGCACTACCCTTGTTTGTTGTATTTCTTCTCCTATCAGTAAAACAATGAAAAGTTGATACCTTTCTCTTGTTAACTTGGGGATGGGATGGGTGTCATTGTCAAAGTTAAACGTTGTAAGGAAAATTGCATGCACACATTTACCTGAGGTCCTTCCCTTCATCAGGCTCATCCACGCTTGCCTAGAGGGACTGGCTAGACTGTAGCAGGATCTCAAACAGGTCCTGATCTGGAGCATGGCTGGAGTTTCCCATCACATTTCCTCCTCCTCTTCCTCCTCCTGCATATTCATGGTGGGGGTCGCTGTCTTGGGCTCCTCCAAGGTATTCACAATGGTCTGTGGGGTGCTGGTGGGGCCTCTACCTCTATGGCATGCAGCTCATTGTAAAAGCAGCAGGTCTGCAGGGCAGCACACTATTGCTGGCCTCCCTGGCTTTATGGTATGCCTGACAAAGTTACTTCCCTTTCATGTGGCACTGCTGTGGATCCCTGGCATACCCCTTTGACTACATTCCCTATGCAATCTGCCCACAGATGTCCATGTTTCTACGGCTGGAATATAACTCTTTTCCCCCCAGACCCGGGAGATATAATACTTCCCATCTACTCCAAGCAGAAGCACATCTAGTGCATGGAGCTGGTATGATCAGATGCACACAAGGGAGAGTTGCTAGGTGTTCTTGCCAAGGTGGGCAATCAGGAAAAGGCATTTCAAAAACAGGCATGGGGGTTTAAACAGGGCGAAGGAGGGGCAGAATGCCTTCTGGTCTCTGTGATCCCAGGCAGTGAAATTTACAATTGTGACTAGACCAGTCACTGTTACAGTGAATGAGGCATTGTGGGACAGCTGCTGGCTGACTGTTAGGGTCTCCACAGGTCATTCAGTATCTACACTCAGACTGCGTTGACCTCAGTAGGTAGATCATGGCCCAATGCCATTTGGGGAGGTGGTTTTACTGCATTGCCAGAAACAAATTTGAGTGCGCAAATAGGTTGATGTGAGTTGCCTTGCATTGACGTAACTTTGTAATATAGACCAG